CCTCACTGTCACCAGTCACCCCCCCTCACTGTCACCAGTCACCCCCCCTCTCTGTCACTAGTCACCCTCTCCCTCACTCTGTCACTAGTCACCCTCTCCCTCACTCTGTCACTAGTCACCCTCTCCCTCACTCTGTCACTACTCACACCCTCCCTCACTCTGTCACTAGAGTGAGGGGATGACTGGTGACAGAGTGAGGGGGTGACTGGTGACAGAGTGAGTTAGGGGGTGACTAGTGACAGAAGGAGGGATGGAGTAGTGACAGAGGGAGGTGGTGACTAGTGACAGTCACCACCTCCCTCACTCTGTCACTAGTCACCCCTTCCTTCCCTCACTCTGCCACTAGTCACCCCTTCCCTCACTCTGCCACTAGTCACCCCCTCTCTCACTCTGCCACTAGTCACCCCCTCCCTCACTCTGTCACTAATCACCCCCTCCCTCACTCTGTCACTAATCACCCCCTCTGTCCTTAGTGACAGAGTGAGAGAGGGGGTGACTAGTGACATAGTGAGGGAGGGGGTGACTAGTGACATAGTGAGAGAGGGGGTGACTAGTGACAGAGTGAGGGAGGGGGTGACACAGTGACAGAGTTAGGGAAGGAGTGACTAGTGACAGAGAGAGGGATGGGGTGACTAGTGACAGTCACCCCCTCTCTCACTAGTCACACCCTCTCTCACTCTGTCATTAGTCACCCCCTCTCTCACTCTGTCACCAGTCATTCCTTCCTTCCCTCACTCTGCCACTAGTCATCCCTTCCCTCACTCTGTCAACAGTCACCCCTTCCTTCCTTCACAATGACAGAGTTAGGGAGGGAGTGACTAGTGACAGAGAGAAGGATGGGGTGACTAGTGACAGAGTGAGGAAGGGGGTGACTAGGGAGAGAGGGGGTGATTAGTGACAGAGTGAGGGAGGGGGTAACACAGTGACAGAGTTAGGGAGGGAGTAACTAGTGACAGAGAGAGGGATGGGGTGACTAGTGACAGTCACCCCCCCCCTCACTCTGTCACCAGTCATCCCCTTACTCTGTCACTAGTCACCCCTTCCCTCCCTCACTCTGCCACTAGTCACCCATTCCCTCACTCTGTCACTAGTCTCCCATTGCCTCCCTCTGTCACTAGTCTCCCCCTCTCCTTCCCTCTGTCACTAGTCACCCACTCCCTCACTCTGTCACCCCCACTCACTGTGTCTCCCCCTCACTCTGCCACCTGTCACAACCTCCCACACTCTTCCACCTGTCACCTTCTCCCTCACACACTCTGTCACCTGTCACATATGCATTCACACAGACACTATATACAAAAAAGCACATGTAGTCATCCAGACATGCACAAGTGCATTCACACAGACTCAAATACAAACATGCATTGATACACAGGTCTTCACAATACACACATCCAAAGGAATGCCGTATTATGAATTATATTTAACATTTATTAAAATGCACATATATTTGGCCTTCAAAGGGCCTGGGATCTAATTTTGCCCGGGGGCCCCAAAGGCTCTCAGTCCGCCCCTGACTATACTGATTCTAGATATGCATTTGGAGTGGTTCATGATTTTGGTGTCATATGGCAGGCTAGAGGTTTTGTTGCAGCTGATGGTCGAACTGTTTCGAACATGTTGCATGAATTGATGGATTATTGAGGGCCATACTGTTACCTAGATCTTTAGCTATTGTGAAGTGCAAGGGCCATGATACAGATCACTCCATGGTCAGGGATGGTAATGATTTTGCAGATTTGGTGGCGAAAAGAGCGGCTGCTTCTTTTCCCTTATGGCCAGATTACAGTACCGTTTCTCGTGACCATGTCTTAACTGCAGTGCATATAGCCCCTCATACTGATGATATTGATATTCTTTCTGTGCAGGCTGCATCATCTTCGGATGACATAGCTTACTGGAATATTCATTCAGTTACAACTGATGCAACTTCTGGTATCCTCAAGGATCCTAAAGGTCGCATACCAATCCCTCAAGCTTCTTCTGTGTTACTCGTCCGACAGTTCCATGGCTATGGACATGTCAGAAGAAGAGGGGTATTGGCTAGAATTTTGTTATAAGATCTGTGTTTTCCCCATTAAAATTAGGAACAGTATTTTGTCATTCACTTATGAACGAGTACTGCCCTCCAAGCTTGTATTTCTGCTGTGTCCATTCCTTATCTTCATACCTGAGAGAAAACATTGCTGTCTGCTGAATTTAAACCACAACATTGGGTATAAGAAGAGATGTGTTCATAGCTACAGAGTATTCCTTGGAAGTATGGTGTATTAACCAATTTACAGTTTCCTTTCGTGTATTCTCCGTCTGTTTATTATAAATAAACCATAAACAGAGGAAAATGTAGGATATTACATATTCTATATGTTCCTATTCAAATATATATTAAAGTGTGGATATTTAATACATATTAAAGTGTGGGTTAAAAAAAAAAAAAAAAAAAACACTGTACCATGAGGACTCTGGAATGTGCTCCTTATATGGGGAGTTTCCTTATATGGCCAGAGTTTAAATTAAAAGTTATGACATTTTGCTTACAAAAGAACGGAGGACAAAGGATCACGTTCTCTTTCTCCTACACTCCGCTCTCATCTCCTGGTATGTCCCTGACTTGCTGATATTAAGACTACCTCACTCTGTCACTCTCTCGTCGTTAAGAAATACCATCAGTTAATTATATTATTGTTTGCTTTTGAAGTAGAATAAATGCATGTTTGTTTATAAAGAACGTCAGGTTGCATATTAGTACTTTTTGGTTAATATAGATGTATATTAACCTGGCGGGCCTTTATCTAAAGTAGATATATATATATATATATATATAATATATAAAAATAAAAGACTTATGTAACTGAGAAAACAAACTAGATATTACAACAATACATTTTATTAATTTTAAAGTACATTGGAGCCTTCTGAATCTTCTTAGGGGTAGTGCCATCCCCACTAAATTGGCACAAATGGTTTAATTCCAAAGAGTGTCTGCAGCGCAGATCTCCAGGACCCCCAGGCAGCATCTAGCTTCTGAATCAGAGTTACAGGGAGAGTGCAGTGAGGCAGGGCTGCTGCTGATTGGCTAGGGCGGTAAGTTGACGCTCTAAGCCAATCAGTGGCTCCTCAATGATAAAAAAAGGTGCGTACCTTTTGAGAGAAGAATGCTCAATTCTTCAGAGAAGCTATTTCAAAATCAATCTGGAAGAGACAATCATTATCAGTAATCCAAATAAGCGAATAACGTCCTTCATGAAACATAGGAGAGTTTAAAGGAGGAAAGAGATCTGGGAAGCTGAACAAAATGAGCCATTTTAGAAACCCATTGTACAACCATAAGAATGGCAGTGTTCCCTTTAGATAGGTGAATCTGTACAATAAAATCCAGACGTGTGTCCGAAGGAGCTTTATGTGGTACCTTGGTTTGCTCACAATCTGAATAAATTTGAATAAAGTCCCTCCCAACAGTACTAATAGATACGCCCCTTTAGTGTCGGCTAACAGAGGAAATAACTTGGGTACACCAAAGCATTCTGCAGCTTTAGTGGAATAAAAACAAAATACTAAAATATCTTTCCTCATATTGGGTTGGAACAAACAATTCCTTTCTGTGTCTGGAGAGAAGTGCTTGTGTAGGACAGTTTAGGATTCTTTCAAAAAGTGTGGAAGAAAGGATTGTTGCAATGATAAAGTTATAATGAGTTTGTCTTCAAAGTACATTACTCTTGGTGCATCCAGAAACTTGATGACAGGTGATTAAATAATTAAATCTAGAACCAAAGACCATCTAAGCTTGGCATGAAGACAGCCATTTAATAGCACTGATGTATGACATTTTTTTTAAAGAATCATAATGGATTCAATGAGCTACCATATTTGGTAAATAACTCACAATTGCCTATATGAAAATTTATTTCTGTATCAGAGAGCTTTTATGAAAAGTAATGAATGAATGTTTAAAGTAATTTTCTCTGAGAAAGCATGGAACCAATACCCACTTCAGAAGGATTTACCTCCACAAGAAATGGTTTGGCTAGTAGCAAATTGTAATTTTTAAATGCTTGCAGGGGACCTTGAACGGATATTTGCTCCAGTCACAGCTTTTCTTGTGTATGTTGCTTGTCTTTCTGTTGTTCTTATTTTATATTATTTGCCATTAGGTCACAGCTTTTCTTGTGTATGTTGCTTGTCTTTTTTGTTGTTCTTATTTTATATTATTTTTACAAAGGATGTTTGAAAAAGTCTAACATGATATGGTTGAATTTCTCCCTATGATTTTCACAGCAGGACATGTGAATTCATGGTCCTGTCAATGTCAGGGAGACTAATGTTAATGCCTCTAGAAAGTATGAATATATGAAGAATATATCCGCGGCACACAGCGCAGCTACAGACAGCTAAGACCCTCTACCTAAGAATGGCAACTAAAGCTAAGGAAAAGAGCGACAAATCCTTGTTCTCCCAAAAACCCAAACGGACGCCGGAGGGAGAACAAGATGGTGGCAAAGCAACACCAGATCCAGGCAGCATGGATGTGGAGAGTGACCCATGCCTGGAAGGAAAAGGCCCAATCACAGAAACTTGCATCAGGTCCTTGCTTGCCAGCCGAACTCATAACCTCATGCAGCAGTTCAGAGAGGTGGTGGCAGGCCTCACAAAAGATGTCACAGACCTAGGGGACAGAGTATCCCACATTGAGAACAAAATGGAAGAACGAGTGGAGACACATAACAGCATGGCTGATGCCTTTAAAGAAATGGAGCAAAAAGTACAGGCCTGTAAGATTAATGACCTGGAACAATGTATGCATCCGAGGAATCGCTGAAACCATAGATCACAAAGGAAAAAAACAACAATGTCTCAGCCTTCTTTGTTAAACTCCTTCCTGAAACGACACCAGAGCTCCTGGTCATCGACCGAATCCACTGGGTGAGTAGGCCGAAGCACTTACCTTAGACTACCCCGCGATGTACTAATGCGGATCCACTATTTCCATATCAAAGAAAGAATAATGAGGGCTAGCCGGGCACATCCATTGCCACCCTACAAATCTACACAAATTTATCTCTGGTTACGCTGCAACAAGGAAGGGAAATGTCCCCCATCACAACAGCTCTGAGATCCCACAACATCCAATACCGCTGTGGCTTCCCCACCAATGTCTTGGTGCTATGAAATGGAACTATGTGTGCCATCAAATCAGTAGAAAACGGATGGTGAATGTTAAGCGAATGGGACAAACGTTCAAGCTCCTCGTCCCGTGGCGTCAGGGAAGCCGCAAAGATTATCGACGAAGTGGCACAACGTTCTGTGAGCTATGATCAAATAATACAGGGGGATCAAATAATCAGACAAACAAATTTGTCCCTTCTCACTCTGGTCGCAAAGATTTCTGATGTTAAAAGTAAAATTTATACTATTCAGTTGAAGCATACAGCCTTGCTGTTAAAGAGACTTAAGCAACAGTTTTATTTTAATGGTCATAAGACTTCGTCTTTGCTAGCCTCTAAGCTGCGACAGAGTCGCTCAGTCCAGAAATGAGCATTTATTGACTGAGGGTGGTTTAAAAGTGACTAATCCAGTTATGATAAGTAATACCTTTGATGCCTACTATAAAAATTTTTACAATTTGGCATTTGACCCCAACGTGCAGCAGCCTACCATAGAAAAGAAAATAGCTATTTTCTGGATATAGTCCCACTGAAGCAAATCTCAGTTGATACATTTGATAAACTACATTATCCTATATCTCAAAAAGAAATTGTGGATGCAATTGCCATGATTCCTGGTGACAAAGCTCCGGTACCTGGTTCTTTTAGGATTGCATATTACAAGTCCTTCTCTAGTGTAGAACAGTACAAACAATTGTCATTTTCAAGCTCGACAGAGGTGGCAAGTGGTGTCCCTCAGGGGTCTGTTCTGGGACCCCTTCTATTTAACATATTTATAAATGATCTTGAAGACAGCATTGAAAGTCATGTTTCAGTGTTTGCAGTTGACACAAAACTTTGTAAAATAATACAATGTGAGCAAGACATTACTTTGGTGGAGAGGGATTTAGATAGACTGGGCACTCAAATGGCAGATGAAATTTAATGTTGAAAAATGCAAAGTTATGCACTTCGGCATAAAGAATACACAAGCAACGTATGCCCTTAAT